GATCCCTTCCCAACCAACCTCAAACTTGAGCACAGTAACAAGACTCATAATCAGAGGGTGGGCACGAGCGGGACCTCTCAATTCAAGAATAGGTGCAGTTGGTGCACAAGATGAATTTGTGCAAAAGCCTGCCACCTGCTCTTCGTATATAGGAATTGTGAATCCTATGTGCATGTGTAAAGCAAGTGATTTTTCTTTCAGTGCTGGCATCATCAATCTTTGCAGCTCTGGTCCAATTACATTGTCACTTCCAGGTTTGTTTGTGGAATTTCAGCACTCTTTCCTAGAACTAAAAGCATCCCTTGCAGACTGTTAGCTTTATCATCTGATACTCATCTAAGAGTTAAACTTACACTAAAAGTTACACTGATATTTTCAAAGGCCATCTCACATACTATAATGGTGTGTGGGAATGATCATGGAAAACAGAAGGAAAAGTGGCAGTCTAGACAACGATCTGAGAAACTAAATCTGAGTCTGAAGGAGGGGTGGAGGTGGAGAAAGCATCTCAGAAAGGGCCCTTCCTAGTTTTTGATACAATAAACTAAGGAAGGAGAGAGGGACTTTCAGACCTGCAAGATTTGGTTACTGTATTCTTACAATAATGGTAGCATTAGTATTTATGATTGGTGCTTCTTGTGTGGACTGCCTCAAATAGCAAGACAACTTCAGTGTTGATCAACTATTTCATGTAATTCAAAGGAATAGTATTCAGAAATGTATTTAGATGTATTGAAAATACAGTAGAAATGGGTAACCATACCTCATAGTTCTGGACTTTTAAAATGCTTCAGTTCCTTTTGCCTAAGTAAAGTTCTTGCATATTTCCATCATGGTCATCTTCCTTACACTTTACATACACACTGCATAACTACTCACTAATGTTGCAATAAAAAAGGAATGTTCTACCATCTCTGATGGGACCTCGATTATCTTTCAACATTTTGGAGGGATGTCCTTAACAAAATGAAACATATATAAATATTGTATTTTTACCAAGTTTAGACCTAGATTTTGACCTTCTGTATTTGATGGAAAGAGTAAAAAGTTATGAAACAAGAATGTTATTGTCTAACTGCAGTGAAGTTAATCATTTTCCACCAATGGAAACATTTGGATAATCTCTTACTCAAAAACTGGTTCAATAAGAATTGGTCAATAGATCTGCTCGAGAATGTGTTTGATGAAATTTATTTGTGTGTGTATGTGTGTGTGTGTGTGTGTGAGAGAGAGAGAGAGAGAGAGAGAGAACATTTTATTAGAACTATCAGGATTGTATCTGTTTATATAAAATGAAATGAATAATCTTTTAGGATATGTGGAAAATATAAAGGGCCTGTTTAATGTAGGAATAACCTATATAATATTAGTTTTAGAATTAAAAAAATGCTAAATAAAATGTTTTGTGGGTTTCCACAAAGAAGATGGAGTCAGCCTATTTCCCAAAGCACTTGAAGGCAGGACACGAAGCAATGATGGAAACTAATCAAGGAGAGAAGCAACTTAGGCCTAAGAAGAAATTTCCTGACAGAACAATAAATCATTGGAACAACTTGCCTGCAGAAGATGTAAATACTCCAACCCTGGAAGTTTTAAATAAAGGATTAGACAACCAATTGTCAGAAATGGTATAGGGTTTCCTGCCAGAGCAGGGGGTTGGACTAGAAGGCCTCCAAGATCCCTTCCAATTCTGTTATTCTGTTCTTTTATCCTGTTAAAAATGAGAGCATTGCAGTCACTTATTTGCATGTATTAATCAATTTCATAAGATCCAACCAGCTTTTGTCAGATCTATCATATTCTTCCCCATTCTCTTAGCTTTGTAGACACCCAAGATATTTGTTTTTATTTCTGGCATTTCATGCATGAATTCATGTTCTATCAATTATACCTATTATGTTCAAAATTGCAATCTTCCATATATGCCATATAATCCCAATAAATGTTGAATTCTGCTGCCCAGTTTTATATATAAATATAAATATTTATATAAATATTTTTTGTATTAAGGCGCCAGATGAGAAAACAGTAGAATGTGAGTTGTGGTCCTGCCTTACCTATAAAAGCTGACTAGATGACTTCATGGCAGCCACTCTCTCAGCCCAACGCACCTCACAGGGTTGTTGTTGTGGGGAGAATAGGAGGAGGGAAATACGTTGGATGTGTTTGCTTCCTTGAGTTATTTGTAAAAATGATAAAAGCAGGATGTAAATAAAATAATAAAATGAAATAAATTAAGTTACCAAGCTATTCATTTTTATCCCGAAACAATCTGAGTAAAAATTCATCATCACTTAGCCTATTCCAGACTACATTATGGAATAAGTCATGCTACAATTATATTTCTTGCATAAATGATTAAGTCTTTCACAAACAGAATCCTTGGCAACTTTTTGACTCAGTAGGAACTGAGTAAGGTTCTTTCTGAGTCAGGGTCTTTCTTCATCCTCCAGAGTCTCCTGATTCATGCAATTCATCTCCTAATGCGATGTTCTGATTGATGGTTTCTGTTTTCATTTTGGCTAAAATCATACTTTTCTTGACTTAATGTCACACACTTTTTTCCCCCTGAGCAATCACACTTTCCAGGTGAAGACTTTAGGTTAAACTCTAGAGTGTAAGCGAATACCCATAACTAGGTCCCATTGGTATCTTATTTACAAGTATACAAACTGCAAATACTGAAAGGAAATAAACAGCAGACTAACTACTGTAATTACTGCTTTCGATCACCACAGAATTTCTACATCACAACGTGACTTCATTTTCAACTAGCTCCCAGATCTTTGTCCATATAACCCTTTGTTCAGAGCTACTGTGATAATTCTTTTTCCTCCGGCTGTTGAACCAGCTGAAGTTGAGAGACAGTTAAAAGCATAAGGCTGCAAATGGAGACATTGAGTGTTAGTCCAGCCTTAGGCATCAAATTGGGTAAATGACTTTGGGCCCATTTCTCTTGCTGCCTCAGCTCTAAGAAGACACAAAGAACAACCACTTCTGAAAATTTTAGAAAGACAATCAATTGGGTGTAGTGGTTAAGATGCTGGCCTAGAAGTCAGGAGACTGAGATTGCTAATCCAGTATTAAGCATAGTAAACTAGTTGGACTAGTCTCTGTCTGAGTCTCCCTCCCTCCCTCTCCCTCTCTCAGCCTAACTCACCTCACAGGTTTGCTGTTGTGGGAAAAATAAAAGCGGGAAGGAGTATTAGATATGTTTACATTTTGAGTTGTATGTGAAAAAAAAACATTAAAAAATTAACCTTTAGGGAGTGAGTTGAAGGCACACATATACAAGCCCCCCCCCATCCCAACCTAGCTGAAGAATGTGACTTTTCAAGGACACAGAGTGTTTTCAGGTGTATAAAAAACATTTGCAAGTCATCTGTATCCTTCTCTAAGTCTTCCATCTACTTGGTCTTTGCTATGAGCAAGTACTCTAAGGAAGGTTAGTCAACCAAGCACGCATGACGATATTTTAGAATTTGAACGGTTAAGTGGGCTGGAAATTTTATATTCCTGTGTCTTTTGTTCTGTTACATTTTATTATACTTTGTCCTTGCTATAAGGAAAAAAAAACTATTTTCTCTTGTTTTGCTTTTTCCTTTCATTGCCAGGATAATTATATTTCTGTACTTACTTATGGCCAATTTAGATTTTAGCAAAGAACAATTCTACCCACCTATTTTTTTCTCTTCCTTCTTCCTCTACCCTTGAGTCTATCTCCCTGTAATTCTAAAAAAAATCATTGACATTACTGGATCCTTACCCCACTACTTAAAATATTACATCTCCCAGGCAGAGCTCAGGAACCATTGACTTTTACCTGAATATACGTATGCATTGTTGAATTTCTTCCTATTTAAAGTATGTAGGCAGTGATGGGATTCAGCCAGTTCGCACCACTTCAGTAGAACCGGTTGTTATCTTTCTGAGTAGTTTGGCAAATTGGTTGTAAAATTATTTGAATCCCACTACTGTGTAAGGATTGTTAAGTGTTTACAAATGAGAAGTACTGTGAATGGTTGTGCCTAGCATCCTCGTTAACTCTTGATATTTGGAAATGCATTGAATCATGCATATCACTCTGTTTTGGTTGATGTCATTTCAATTGTTGGAGACTGACGACTATTGCAGTGTTTTTCAACCACTGTGCCGCGGCACACTAGTGTGCCGTGACATAGTGTAAGGTGTGCCGTGGGAAAAACACTTTATATATAGTCAATATAGGCACAGAGTTAAATTTTTTTAACATTTTCTAATGGTGGTGTGCCTCGTGATTTTTTTTCATGAAAAAAGTGTGCCTTTGCACAAAAAGGTTGAAAAACACTGGACTATTGATATTGCATTTTTTTCAGAAGTATCTAGGTTCAAGAGCTTTCATGGTCTAGCATACAGTACATTACTTGAATCTGTGTGTCTTGTCAATCTGCCATACAGGTATCTTTGACTTACAACTGCTTGCTTAACAACCATTCAAAGTTATGATGGAGTTCAAAAAGGTTACTTAAAGATACTGTCTTCAAAGTTATGATGACTGCACCTTTCTCACAGTCATGTGATCGCATTTTGGGTGCTTGGCAACAACTCCCATTTACAGTTGGTTGCAGTGTCCCACAATCAAGTGATCACATTTTGTGATGCTTTTTGTTTTGTTCTGGCAAAAAACCCTGCACATTGAACAAGCCAGAATTGGACTTATGACCATGTGATTTGCTTAATGACCACATGATTCTCTTAACACCCATTGTAAAAATGGTTGTAAAATTGTCCGATTCATGTGGTGACTTGACTTATGACCGCAACAACTTACCACCAAAATTCTGGGCTCAGTTGTGGTCAGAAATCAAGGACAACCTGTATGCTTTTATAGCACTTTGAGCTGCACATATGATAAGTGCTTCACATCATCAGGTGTTAGCATTTCATTTAATGAATATTTTCCGTCCCATGGATAAACAGGCATGTGTAACTCTGTGCACTATTTTTCATCTCTTTCACAGGCATCTATACTACCAGCAGCTCTGCCTCATCCTGTCAACAACTGTTACCCCCACTTGTGCTGCCATGTTGTCAGAGTCACGCTGGAGGGGTCTCCGTCATACCTTGCTGGTGCTCTTCTCAGCCACCCTTCTCATTGGCATAACGATGCTGGCCATCTCCACTGAAATCAGTCCTATTGGGGTTTTCTTTCTTGTAGCAGGGGGCTTGTGTTTGGTTGGCTACCTCATTAGTGTGGCAGCTGAACAATGCCTGAAGCATCAGAATGCAGGAGAAGAGGCACAGGCAGCCCCAAGAAGACAAAACCACAATGGGTAAGACCATGTAGTTGTGCTAATTTTCACATATCTTAATCACAGGATATTTGCACCCATTTCTGACACCAGTTTAAGGGAAGCTGGCAAAGACCAAGGACTTTTCTAGTTTAGAATCCTAATTCCAGTGATGAGTGCTCAAGCTTTTTGGGAAATGTATATGCAAGATATGAAGACTGTAACCTTTCACTGTTGTGTATCTGCATCATGATATTTCTTCATATACCCATTGAGTGCTGACATGCATGCATGCATTTTCATTCATTCTGTAGTAAAATCAGACTCAAGGCAGCTACTCTGATGCTGCTAGAGAGTTTAATTCATATTATCACTACCTGCCTTTCTCCAGATGGCTTGAAAATGCAGTTCCTAGAATTCCAAGCCAATTTCATTGACTGGGAATTCTGTTCTGCAATACCAACACATCTGAAAAGGGATCATTAGATAAGACTGAACTGCAGGTAAACCTTGACTTACCAGTTTTAGTGACCATTCAAAGTTACAATGACACTGAAAAAAATGAGTTATGGCCGTCATAATTTACACTTATGTGTAATGCCTATGTGGATGCTTGGCAACTGACTCATATTTATGATGGTTGCAGCGGTCACTTTTTGCAACCTTCCGACAAGCAAAGTCAATGGGAAATCTGGATTCACTTAACAACCATGTCACTAACTTAACAACTGCAGTGATTCACTTAACAACTGTGGCAAGAAAGGTGGTAAAATGGGGCAAAAGTCTCTTGACCATTGCTCAAAACATTATCTTTTTTAGTAATGTTCATCTGATGTTCTAGGACCGTGATGGCGAACCTATGTGGCACGTGAAGCCATATCTGCTGGTATGTGAGCCGTCAGCTCCAGTGCACATGTGCATGCCAGCCAGTTGATTTTCAGCCTTTCTGTCTTCCCTAGAGCCTGGGGAGGGTGAAAAACAGGCCCAACGGGACAACTAGAAGTTTGTTTTGGCCTGTTGGGCCTGTTTTCCGCCCTTCCCAGGCTCCTGACTCTTTCCTGGAGCCCGGGAAGGGCAAAAATGACTCCCCCGGCCACCTGGAGGAAATGCCAAGCTCAGCTTAGAGAAGAGTAGTGCGGCGCATGTGGGGAGAGCATGTGGGTTGTGTGCGCATGTTGGGGGCACTTTGAATTATGGGCAATGGCGCATGTGTGCCCTCGGTGGTAGCCAGAATTAGGGGTTTCTCAGTTGTAGCAACTTAGTCACGGAACTCTTCCAAGGGGAATGCAAGTAGACTCCCGGGCTGTTTTAAATGACTATCCAGCAAAGTAGCTGTGCTTCAGATCCTTTCCATAGAAAATAACGACACCTAGTGGAACTGGAAAGCAGTTACAGTGCTTACTCTTTGGAACAATATACCGTAGTCTTTGAGATTTGGATGGTTCTGACTGTAGTGGCTTTCCATAAGGTTTAAAAAAACCATTCTCCCCCACCCCCGGCGTTTGGGCCAGAATGTGGGATAAGCTCTTCTGTAATGGTTTTGGATTACACTAAGCCCGGGATGGCGAACCTATGGCATGCGTGCCACAGGTGGCACGCGGAGCCATTTGTCAGGGCATACGAGGTGTTGCCCTGTCAGCTGGCCAGCGCGCATGTCATTTTTTGCCCTCCCCAGGCTCCAGAGGCTTTATAGGAGCCTGGGGAGGGCAAAAAGAACCTCCCCCCCTGGAGGCTTCAGGAGCTTCCCTGAAGCCTCCGGAACACCAAAAAACAGCCCTATGGGCAAACCGGAACTTTGGGAAAGGACTTCTGGTTTGGTCGTAGGGTCAGTTTAAGCCCTCCAGAGGCTTCAGGGACCTTCAGGAGGCTTCCCTGAAGCCTCCAAAGGACTAAAAAGGACCCTACGAGCAAACCGGAAGTGACTTCCGGTTTGCTCGTAGGGCCAGTTTAAGCCCTCCGGAGGCTTCAGGGAAGCCTCTTGAAGGTTCCTGAAGCCTCCAGAGAGCCTCCGGGGGAATGGAGGCTGTTTTCGCCCTCCCCAGGCTCCTATAAAGCCTCTGGAGTCTGGGGAGGGCGAAAAAAGCATGCAAAAATGGGGGGGAAGATAATGTTTTGAGCAATGGTCAAGAGACTTTTGCCCCATTTTACCACCTTTCGTGCCACAGTTAAGTGAATCTCATTCGTTCATGCGCACTGGGGGAAGGGGCGCACGTTGTATTATAGGTACGACCTATGCACGACCCCCTTGTGCTCCCCCCCTTTATGGCACGTGAGCCAAAAAAGATTCACCATCGCTGCACTAAGCTGTAACATGGTCTCAGTTATGCTTTAGTACAGTGTGTCTCAGCATTTTGTTGTTTGTTATACTTTTGTCTGTATGTAAGCCACTTAAAGTCGCCATTCATGAGTTGGGTGGCCGTATTCAATCAATCAGAGACATGTCTGTTAACCCAGGTATTTGGAGTATAACAATTTGTTTCACTACCAGATTGCTTTTTAGGTTGCTCAATTTATTCCTTTTTTTAAAGTGAAGCTTGTTAATTGTTGTTTTTATTGCATTTAAAAATGTTTGGTTTAATTATTTTCTTCTTCATTTAAGATTTTCTTGGGAACTGCTCTAGGCTTATCAGGACAAGTTGTATTGGAGATAACATTAGTAATAATCATTGCATCACATGCCCAATGGTGCATGAAAGAGATGACAATCTACTGGATAGATGACAATCTACTAGATTATTGCTTACTTATTTCAGATAAATACATCAGGAAGTTGAATTATATAGCATAATTTACAAGGAGGAGATTTTTGCATTCTTGCAGAATAATAATCAAACAGGATGTAGAATGCAATTATGGGAATTAAGTAGAAATAAGATACAATAAACCTACGTGCTTGAAATGATTTAGAATCTTGCTTGAGTCTCATTAAAAAAAAAAAGGTAACTGTTCCTCATGGAACCCGGAAGCAGATATTTTGAACTTTGCTCCCATTTTTTTTTATTATACAGAGACAACGCAACTTACGAAGCACCAGCATATGAGGAAGTGGTGGCTACTGGCTACTTGTCAGATTCAGCGCCCACAATTTGGACCATTACATCTAGTCCTGGAGTAACACAAGGAGAACCCCCTCCCTATAGTGTGGTTATTGAGCCTCCTGCCCATGGAGAGACAGTGGTGGAAGCATTGAGTGTCTCGGTGGAGCCTGGTACACGGCGGGCCTCCGAAACAGATCTGCACTCGAGGCTGCGCCTCCGACTGTTCCTGCCCCCAAGACTGAAACGCTTTGTCTCAGATTCTCATGAACTCAAAGGGAGCGAAGAGCGCCTGGAACGCCTGGAACGCCTGGAGCCCCTCACTCCACCTCCTGCATATGAGAATGCGACTGGTGATGAAATCTTTGAAGGACACTTTCAACCTTCAAAACCTTGACTGAAAGGCTGGAGATTGACAAATGGTGCCAGTATTACCTCATTACTTCTTTCGAGCCTATTATCAGCTTGGTATTGGAGCCTGTGTGCTTCATCTGACTGCAAAGTTTGTTTGCAAGGGCTTGGCTCTCTTTTATGAAAAATGCATGTATTGTAGACACGCAGCCATGGTAAGGACTCCTTTTCTCCCTTTGGAGTTTCTTTCAGGGAGTGGGGAGAGGTAGAAAGGTTCTTAGACATTTCATCTGATATGGTTACACATTTCCAAAGTCATTCATATGTTCTTACCATTGAACAGCAGCTTAGGCTGCCTAGGAAGTGGAGAACAAAAGGCAGGTTGGCATACCTGGAGGAGACAGATTAGACACAGATTATTAATTATTCTGCCTGGCTGATATAAACAGAAGTCTGGAGAGAGGGAAGAACAGGGCAGGGTAGAGAGCCAGTGAAATAAAGATTTTTTTTAAAAAAAACCAGGAAGTTGTTTTTAATTTTTTTTAACTTACTGTAAGTCTCACTGATAAGCTAGTCTAGATCCAGGAAGCTTTTAAAAGATCTTCCTGGAAAGATTAATATCAGCCAAGAAAATACAATACAATAGTGATGATTCATCTTAAAACTGCTTTCTCTTATTTTCTGTGTCATACCTGTCATGTTAAGTATTCGTTGTGTTTTCTGTCAGGAGTAGGCATTTTATCCAAATATTTATTTCAACATTCTGAATGAAAGCTAACCGTAACAATGAACATCTTCCTTAAAATCAAGTAGGGGCAAGTAGGGGTTCTGTAATGCAGAGGACAGTACCCAGAGGAGACTACTGAAGCGTCCCCTTTCTCTTATTTATTGAAACTGGGCTTGCTTTATGTGAATCACGATATGTACATGTGGAGTAGTTCCTGTTATGAGGATAACGAATCCAGTATGGATCTCTGTCATAACCTTAGAATCTCTCATGATGAAAATAAGCTTTTATATACAAACAGTTCATACAAGCTAGTGTAATATAGTTTCCAAAGATTTTAATTAAAATTTTTCAAATCCGTCTTTGGTGAAGGGGGCTAGTCACTAATTTTACCTGAAATAGATATTGTAAGAGGTACCTGCACCATGTAAGTATGAAATAAAGTAAGCCGTGGTGGCAAATTTAAAATTCAAATAATACTAAGACTGCAACTTTAAGTTTTTCTAACAGAAAAATCTGAATAATTTTCAGGTATGTTCAAAAGATTCCTGTCTGAAATTATGCATCAGCTGCTAAAAGCAGTAGTATTGTGCAATAAATGTTATTTTTATGGCTTCCACATTGATTGTTAAGGTGCAGAAAGATGAATGTTAACATTATTTTTTTCAATATGTAAAATTGTAAAACAGAGTATGCAAAATACATTTTATAGCTTGCTAGATTTTAAAAGCATAAATCCAGCGCTGCCAAGGAATGCTCAGACAAAATAAAACATTTGATCACAGAAAATCTATGGGCTGATCTCTTGCATCCAGAATAACAAATAATGGAAGATGTTACCATAGTTGAGTAAGTCTTTACCTTTCAAGCAATGCACTTTTAAGAATCCCTTGAAACAGACCAGCTATGTGATTCTTGTGTCTATTAGGCCAAGGGATAGTCACAAAAGAATAGGGTGCTGGAAATGAAAAAGAGAACTTTCTATTAAAATATAGTTCTTTCAGACATCATTCCTGGATAGAAGAAGAGGACTTAGCCCTAATCTTCTAGTTTGAATTAATTCCCGAGTAGACAATTAACTATTCACGAGTTTCACATGCCCCATAGCCCCATGGGTTCTTCTAACTTTTCTTTGTGACAGTTATCTTGGGCAAACACATGTTCTATATGCAGTAGAACCTCTGGTCACAGCCATAATTGGTTCCATAACTTTGGTCACAAACTGATTTGGTCGTGATCCAAACCTAATTTTGAAAATTTGGCACTTACAAAAAAAATGGTGCGGAAAGGGAAACTGGCCGTAAAAAAAAATTGTGAATTTTTTGGTTGGAACCCGATTTGGTCTTGGTCAGAAGTGTTCGTGACCAGAGGTTCTACTGTGTTGCCAAACACAATGACTTTCAAACAGAAGAGAATATATGTAGCACAGGTTTGAACGGTGAAGTACTTGTTGCTCTGAGCTTTCTTACTTCTGAGAACCTATTTAGGGACATTAGCAAAAAGGTGTCCCACCAAGCAGTTTTTATCAAGTATTGTGAACATGACTAAGACTTGATTTATGCTGAAGGCATTTGAGTATATGGAGAATATAATAGTGGCATTGTCCAAAACCTATTTGCTATTTAATAGAAACACAACAAACAGTTCAGCAGCATATCTATAACGTTTCTGAAGTGAGCACAAGGCAGACACTCTGAAGTCTTTCAGACGCAGAGGTACTGTATGTTTTTTAAAATCTATGAGTACTGTTGACTTGGAAGCTTCGGTTGCCACTGCATTTTTTGCCTTTAGTCCAATTTTCAATCGGCAAAAATTTGTACGTGGATTTTCTGTGCTGAAAGTTTTTATTTCCCCCAATAGAATATCAGAAAGACATTATGTAAAATGGCTTGGGCACTGTGAGTGCAATAACTCTCCAAGAACAGAAAGACTGCAAAATTTGCTGTGCTGGGAGAAGCTGAGGGGGGGGGGGGGGGGGAGAGATAGTAACAATTAATGGTGGTTAGGACAGCCTTCACATAGCTCTGTATTGTGTTCCAGTTACGGCCATTTCTAGATTGGGAGGCTCTGCTCAGTCACTCATGCTTGGTCATTTCCCAGATAGGTGTATTACAGTGATGGGATTATTATATTTTTTTACTACTGGTTCTGTTGGTGTGGCTTGGTGAGGGGTCATGTGACTGAGTGGGCATGGCCAACTCAACGTCACTCACATCCATGCCCACTCAGTCACATGACTCCCCCCACCAAGCCACACCCACAGAATCCAGTAGGGGGAAAAAATTGAATTTCTACCTATCTATTTTCTGCCCAGGTCTGCCCTAATCTGTCAAAGGCCTTCACCTGCAGGCTGCCCACTCTTTTTGCTAGTCCTGTTTCCGCTCCTTCAGAGGCCCCGGCCCTAGCCCTGCTTCCTCCCCCATGACTGCCTCTTTCTTTGCACTTACCTTCCTCCCGCAGCGGCTGGTCCGGACTCTGGAAGGCAAGCTCTCTTTTTTGGTGCAATGGTGAGAAGCCTCCCAGCCGCCGTCTTTTTGTCAGCAACTTCCCAGCAGCAGCAGCTGACTGGAGGCCACTGAAAACTACAGGAGGTCTCGAACGTGCTGAAAAAGCCGCTGCCATCACCATCCTGTTCTTTGCGCGGGCCACGCACATGCAACCCATTGCCTGCTGCACCACTCCTCTTGGATTTGCCTGAGCAAGTTCATTCGGTATGGAGGCGATTGGCGAGGGATGATTTTCTGTCGACATTTTCTAGGCATATTTTCAGATAATCCCTAATTCAATCTGTGAAAGGAGACCAATAACTAAGAAGGAAAATATATTGAGTTGACATCTGTAATTTGCATCCTTTTACTTATTACATCACCTGATTTGAATGCAAACTTATTTCTGATTGTATGTTGTCTATCTCAGGCCCCTCACCTTTGTTTAGAGTTCAGTTGCTAAAATAATCCATCCCTCACTCCACTAAGCAGGTGTAATCTTTACATTGGCTCTCTGCCCTGCATGATGTCCTATATCCCAAAATGTCCCTTGCCTCCATGCATGCTTCTAACTAAACTTTAATTATTTTTCAAAACCCAATAATAAAATAAAGATATTTTCTGCTTATTACCACTATCGTATTTTTCAGAGGATAAGACGCACCAAAATTTTGAAGAGGTAATTTTTTTTAAAAAAAGCTTTTGCCTGCAAAGTGCTCCTGAGGACTGGGGGTGACGGGGGCAAAAATGACCAAAAAATGGCCCATTTTTCACAAAAACGGGCCTGTTTTTTGCTTTAAAAAGGGCATGCATAGCCTTTAGGAGACTGGAAGAGTGCTCCTGGGGACTGGGGGGAGGGGCAAAATGAGCCCAAAATGGCCATTTTTGCTTGTTTATGCCCTCCTCAGCCTCCATGAGCACTTTGCAGGTCTCCCAAAGCCTATGTACTTCCAATTTTGTGAAGGGGGCGGGGATTCAGGAGGCGACAAATGCTGTATTCAGTGTATAAGACGCATCCAGATTTTTAGCCTCTTTTTTGGGGGGAAAAGGTGTGTCTTATACTCCGAAAAATATGGTATTTATTTCCTTCAATAGGGACATATTGGCTCAGTGGCTAAGACGCTGAGTTTGTCGATCAAAAAGGTTGGCAGTTTGGCATTTCGAATCCCTAGTGCGGAGCAATGGAGTGAGCTCCTGTTACTTGTCCTAACTTCTGCCATCCTAGCAGTTTGAAAGCATGTAAAAATGCAAGTAGAAAAATAGGGACCACCTTTGGTGGGAAGGTGACAGCATTCTGTGCACCTTCGGCGTTTAGTCATGCTGGCCACATGACCACAGAGACGTCTTCAGACAGTGCTGGCTCTTTGGCTTTGAAATGGAGATGAGCACAGCCCTCTAGATTCGGGAATGACTAGCACATATGTGTGAGTGGAATCTTTACCTTTACCTATTTCCTTCAATAGTATAAATATGAACATAAATATATGCATAAAGAGGGAAATAAAAAAATCTTAGTTTTAGATAAGGCGCATACATATTATAGGCAGGAATAGAACAGGATTGATCCCTATTACCTTTATCTTTTCCAAGTAATATTCAATTAACCTAATGAACTGAATCTTAATTTGTTACTAACAACCTAAATGACACATTTCAAGATAGATGGGAATCATAGACAAACCACTGAACAGATTTATTTTCCCTATTCTGAGAAAGGAAATGTTACCTAATGGAAACTGACATGCACAGATTTTATATTTACTCTAAAATATAAAATGATCCTTTGTTTTGGAAACATTACTAATCTTTCAGGCATGTGCAAATTTTCTTGGACCACACAGAACTTAACCTTATATTGATTCATATTGCCTAATGCTAAACGAGCCAAGAAGAGTGCAATTATATCATTTGCTTTTAGGATAGCCGCTTACTATCCAGTTTCCAATAGGAAACTTCTTCCCCAAATTTGCTTAAGAAGGGTGGGGAATTTCATTACTTTTTCTGACTGGGCACTGTTGGAAAACAAACAATGAGTAAGAGGGAAGAGATCAAAGACTTTACATCCACATCTGCAATGTAGGTCAAAGACATTACATTACTAACCTTTAATGGATTTTCCTGTACAT